TGTTCAGATTCAACATACAGAAGTAAACAATTATCCTTTCCCTATAAATTAACAAGGAAAGTATACAATACCTTTGGCATTTATTTTTACAATATATGTGGTAACTTATATGGATCTTAGATTAAGGACAAGTAGTGATGTTTTATTTAGAGTTTAGTTTGGTTTAATACGCGATACTCAATACAAAAGACCGATTACAATATCGTCGTACGTCTTATTATCATACTCTCCGGCTCCTCCACTCACACTCTGCGGCTTCTCCGCTGACTCTCTCTCTCTCTCTCTCTCTCTGACTTCTCAATTAACACTCTCTGGCTTCTCCACCGGCATTGCCTGTTCTAGCATCCCTTTGTCTTTTCTTAGGCCCACCACGCACGTGTTCCGCAGACACTCGTGGCCGGGGTCACGTAGGCCTTTTCTACAAAACTATGCACTTGAAAAGACCGACGACATATTGATGGATCCGACGGCGCCTCGGCTCTCGCGACATTGTTCATGGTTAACTCGATGTTTCTTACTGCATATATACTGCTTTCTGTACTGCATATATATAAATGATCATCGCCAAGTTTTCGAGTAACTGATTCAAATAACTCTATCGTTGGTTGATACAATTATTATCTGCGCAAGCAAAAAACCACAGAGTATCAACGCCAAAGAATCCTTCAGAATGAAATTGCTCAATCGAACAACTAGAATCGAATTCCCAATCGCCTTCCACGGTCCAGGAAGAGAAAATCGTTTACTTATCATAGAATTCGATCCTGCACGCGGTCTGGCTAAATTTACGCTAAGCAAGGCCGGAAATGCGTCTACCATGTCGATCGCAGAAACACAAAACTCTCACTAACCGCTTCGCGATTCAAGTTTGGCAAATCGAACAACGTGAATACCTCGGGCTCGCGTCTGGTCGTCCCGCAGAATTCACCTGCGGGTCGTAGCCGTTCGTTGAACACTACGAAGTTGGTGGAGGAGAGTTGATCGAAGGTCCAGAATGAGCGGCTGAAAAAAAGAGGAGGATGTCACGTCGGGGACACAAGAAATCACGAAACCGATAGATCGGCGGTGATCTCCTCGCGTCGCAGTTCGAACGCTTTACGAATAAGGTGAAGAAACTGAACTTTGTATAACATAATAGAATTTATTATGCAAATCCAACAGAGTGACAGTTCAAAGTGTTATAACAGAATGATTCAAAGCGATTCAAAATGTTTTAACAGGCTGGGACGAGCTTATTTTGAAGGGTTTTTATACTGGGGTTTTAGTTCCTCTGGGGGG